ACATTTCGAGCATGTTTGAGCACTTGTTACAATTCTTACTTGAAATTCTGTTGCAATTAAAAGTTATTGAGGTTTTTTATTCAGTAATATTGATATTTGAAGCAAATTTCAAACGCTTGTCATTTTGAAGCGGCATTGTCGATTTGTACAAACGAAGTGATGTTGGATAGATAATCGAAAGACCTTCAAAACAAGGTACCAGGTGACCCCTCTTTGTATTTGAAAAAAAAAAAGAAGTTGATGGTGCCCACTTGATACTAGGTCACGTGACCACAACTATTTTCATGCCAAATAGTAAAAGGGGTACCTTTTTGCCTGAATTTTACCCGACCTCGCTAGCTTGTTCCGTTCAAAGGTAAAAGGGGGAGGGAAGGACTTTTTACGTCCTCACTGTATATTGAACGAATTAAAGAATATCTGCTGAAAACCTCCTTGGAATAAAAAAATCAAACATATCAACTGTTGAATCACTATCAAATAACCCCAATTAAATACACAAGCAATCGAACCATTTCAAAACATGGCACTTTTATTCAGTTCCACAACTGGCCAACCGCGCCTACTGGGAATATAGGTTTGTTCTCGTTCACAATAGGTTTGTTGGAGTTCACAAAATTAACAGTCCGAAACCATCAGAAGCATGCGCAGTGACAAGAAAGTGTTCGCGATTTCTCAGGACTGTTTCGTATTCCACAGATCACGTGTTTTCGTTTTATACGAACTAGTTTGGGATAATGGGATAGTTTCGAATCGGTCCAAAGCAATACGAGCCTCTGGGCAAGAACTGCCCATGACTGTCGTGGATAATTTTAGATGCGCATGCGTTCATGCAACAGTTTTTTAACCTCTAAGCGTTCTCATGTTGAGAGTTACAAGATGAAGAATTGAACTATTGAGAAAAATGTTCAAGATTATGAACAATGGGTATAAGATCTTCAACTCACCATCCAATCTTCGAGTTCAGATGATTACAAACTGTTTTGAACATGTTATATGCTGGAAATCTGGAAGAGCTATTCGGATAATGGTGGTTTTGAATAAATCTGTACTCATTAGGAATTCCGGGATCATTTTTGGTATATGTATAAGTGTGTAAATATATTAAATATGTAAACGAGTGTGTACAAAATGTTCTCCAATACTGTATTAATGTAATTTTGACTGTAAGTGTAATACCTGTGGTAATAGGTACTGTAGATTTAGTTTGTGTTCATTTTTTTGTGTATAGTATATGACAATGCCGACTGGCTCATGTAAGTTAAATAGCTTAACAATTATAGAGTGTGTCCCAGATTCGCTTCTCTATACAGGGATCTCGGCTCCTATTATACCTACAGCAGAGGTTAAATGGGGAAAGTTTCAGAGGAATCTTAGTGCATTCGATAACCGGCTTCAGATTTACGATCGGATAATTGGTTTTGGAAATATCGGCGAAAAACCGAAAATGACGGATTTCGTTTTTCGCCAGTAAATTCGAAACGGTTAATTTGACAGCTGTCAAAATGTCACATTATCTGGACACGTTTTCAAGACGAATGAGATAGCGTGTATGACATGTCACGATCGTATTTTGTTATCCCGCAAGCCGCCTCAACTTTCATTTTTCTTATGGCCGCCATATTGGAATTTTCGATTTTTGGAAAGAGCGTGAAATTTCCAGTCTAGTGATGTCTCACAAGTGCATAAAAGTTTTGAGTTCCATAGAAATATCACACTTCGTAAAGTTAGGTCTTGATTTTTTCTAAGGAGGCCATGATTTACTTGACAGAAAATAACACGCATAAAAAACTCATAAACGCATTGAGATTTCGATAGAACATGAACGTAAATAACTATTGGTATTTAAAAAAAAGTCAGAAAAATCATCGTCATTAATTAACACTTGAACCTTTGAACAACCTACAATTAGATACAAATTGAAAATGAAAATCGCAACAGGAATATTTTACGAGTTATAATGTGATGTCATGTAAAATAAAATCTAATTATGTTCCTAACTGCTTTTTAAATGAGTGTTCATTTACAAATTTGCAAAATGACGTCCATTTGCATCGAGACATTTTTGGACAATTGGTGACTGTTTTTCTTACAACCCTAGCAAGTGTATTCCCGTTAATATTTCCAAATGTGTCCAGAACTCTTTGTCTCAGCATTTCTATGGTCGCGAGAGGATCAAATTCATAGACCTCATTCTTTGTGTGACCCCAGAGGTAGAAATCCAAAGGTGAGTGGTCAGGGGATCTCGGGGGCCAAGATATTGGACCATTTAAAGAAATAATTCTTTCGTCAAATTGCTCTCTTAAGAATTTCCTGACTTGAATGGTGTTGTGAGCCGGACATCCATCCTGTTGAAACCAGGTTATTCTAAACTCATCTTCGGTTATAGTAGCTCGTAAAGCCGGCACAACCTGGTTTCGCAAAAGCCTTAAGTACCTCTGTCCGTTTAGGTTGTATTCAAACACAAATGGTCCTATAAGTCGATTTCCTGAAATGATTAATAATAATTTATAACAGGTGCTCAATTGAAAAAGCTAAGTCAGATCAAATTACCAATGACCCCACACCAAAAGTTACTTCCAAATCTAGTCTGTAGACATCTCTCTGCCACTTCGTGAGGGTTTTCCACAGCCCAATGATGAGTGTTGTGCTTATTAAAAACTCCACAATTCGTGAACCTACTCTCATCGGACCACAAGACATGATTTACAAAATCGGGATTTTCATTAAACTTCCTAGTATACCACTCACAGAAGCGCATTCGTCTTGAAAAATCAGTTTCCTTAAGTCCTTGAACTATTGTGGGTTTGTATGGATGGTACTTATTTTTATTCAACACTCTCTGTACCGTTGATTTTGACACACCAATTTCCCGTTCTACAGTTCGTACCGATGCTCTGGGATTTTCGTTGACAGTTTGTGAAATGTTTCTGTCGCGATTTTCATTTTCAATATTGTATCTACTTCTAGGTTGTTCGAAGGCCCCATGGTTAATTAAATTAACTACGATTTTTCTAAATTGGGTTTTATGAGGCTGCCGTCGTTCGGGGTACATCTCCAAATACCTTGCTGAAGTAATGTCGGCGTTTCTGCGTGACTGCAAGTACAGCGCTAACATGTCAAACTTTTCTTCATTTGAATAAGGAATACCGGCCATTTTCAACAAATTAAGAGAATTTGTGTGTCAGATTACAAGTACTCTTTATGAAAACACAACTTTGACGCTTTTAACTATTTAATGTCAAACTCAGAGCATCCCTAGATGGAAAAAGTGTTACTTATAAAAACCTAATTTTCTGACAAGTAAATCATGGCCTCCTTACAAAAAATCAAGACCTAACTACACGAAGTGTGATATTTCTATGAAACTCAAAACTTTTATGCACTTGTGAGACATCACTAGACTGGAAATTTTACGCTCTTTCCAAAAATCGAAAATTCCAAAATGGCGGCCATAAGAAAAATGAAAGTTGAGGCGGCTTGCGGGATAACAAAATACGATCGTGACATGTCATACACGCTATCTCATTCGTCTTGAAAACGTGTCCAGATAATGTGACATTTTGACAGCTGTCAAATTAACCGTTTCGAATTTACTGGCGAAAAACGAAATCCGTCATTTTCGGTTTTTCGCCGATATTTCCAAAACCAATTATCCGATCGTAAATCTGAAGGCGGTTATCGAATGCACTAAGATTCCTCTGAAACTTTCCCCATTTAACCTCTGCTGTAGGTATAATAGGAACCGAGATCCCTGTATAGAGAAGCGAATCTGGGACACACTGTATATGTATACAGTGTCTTTCAAAAGTATCGGAACGGTCTCATATTCCAGGAACGGCTTGAGAAAAATTCACGAAATTTTCTACAGGGTGATTATTGATGATGTCCGATTCAATGGTGGCATCGGCAATGTTGCCAAGTTTACAGTTTTTCAGATATTAGGAGTAACTTTATTTTTTCAAATGGAATACCCCATTTATTTTTATTGCAATTAATTGAGCGCCTCCTACTTACTTGAGTCCCTGAATATCAGATTCGTAATTAACGTGATTTTCGAAATATGACAACATAGCATTTTCGTTAAAAAGTTCTGGAACGGTCCTATATTTCAGAAACGGCTCAGAGAAGATTTATGAAAACTGCGACAAGATGATTATTGATGATGCCCGATTCAATGGTGATATCGGCAATGTTGCCAAATCACCAGTTTTTCAGATATTTAGGGTAACTCAATTTTTTCAAATTGAATACCCTATTTGTTTTCATTGCAATTCATTCAGCGACGCCTCATTACTTATGTCTCCAAATATCAGATTTTAAATTGAAGTGGTTTTCGAAATATGACAACATGGCATTTTCGTTCAAAAGTCTGGGAACCTTCTAATATTTTCAATACGGTTCAAGGAAAATTCATGGAATTTTATACAAGATGGTTTCTGATGATGCCCGATTCAATGGTGATATCGGCAATGTTGCCAAATCAACAGTTTTTCAGAAATTAATTTTCTTTCCATGCAAAATCATATTATTACAAATTTTCTCATATTGATATCCCGGCGATTGTTTATTGAGAATATTTATTTCCTTGTATCTCAATTCTCGAATATTCCAATAATCTGCGAGACAGAGTCAAATTCTGCGCAGTGGCCGAACGTCTGCCAGTTTAGGCAGAAAAAGAGTAGTACCTCTCCACCCTCGGCCAAGGTACCGGTGTGTCGCTTAAAAATATAAAACCCGGCAAAATTCCCACTCAATCAAACCCAAAATCCCTCTCAATGGTTATTTAGCGTGTGAGATCCTCCCAGAAATACAGTCCACTTCCCAGAAAGCAGGAGATTGGTGGTTGCAACCCCGAACAGCTGGGAAAACTGACCGAACTGACATCTGAGAATTATAATTTGTTGACATAACCACTGTAATCTGGGCAAAAAAAAGAAAGATAGATATCTACCTAAATCAAACGCAGACCATTGTTTCTCACCTTCGTGTGTTGCACATAGAACCGACCCCCGTCGAGCACCGCCCACCGACCCCGCCGCCCGAGGAGGCGGCCAATCCCGAACTCGCGCGCTACCTGGACCGCCGCTACTGGGAGTCGCTGCAAGCGGAGACGGCCCCGGCGGAGAGGGGCGGAGCCGCCCCGCCTTCCGCGCCCGCCCCCGCGCCCAAGGTGGCCACCCACAGCGAGGCGCCCGCCCACGGGAAGGAGAGGGAGAACGGCGTGATGGGCGAGAACGATCTGGAGGAGTTCATGAGGACGCTGAAGGGGAACGTGGAGACGTTCGTCAACAGGATGAAGAGCAATTCGAGCAGAGGACGGTAAGTGTGTACATACATACATACATACCTGACGTGCGTTCGGATTAACAAAATCGGAGCCCAGCGAGCAGATGCAGATTTTGTGTCACGTGATCACCTAGCTGATAGAGCTAAAGATATTTAACGAACGCTCAACAAGGTAGTAGATTGAGAGCGCCAGCTGTCAGAAGTAACAGAAACAATTCACTTAACCTTATGACTTTTCAAAACACGTCAGGGCAACAAAGTTCTTTCGAATGTTTGTTGTTTACTTGGTTTTATATTTTGAAAATTACTAGGGAAAGAATGATTCTGTCTCATATGATCGGTCCTTATCTGTGGATCAGGGCAGTTGTGATCGCATATATTACAGATATACAATATGCTACCTATAGCAAATTCGTCGGTCATTCTGGCGATTCTGGGCATGGAGGATTCTACAAAATTCAGTTTCGTGTATCGTTTCCAATTGATCAAGTCTTTAATTTTTCGACACAAAAGAGATATATAATTTCAATAAAATGTTGTTGACATTGATTTGTTGACAACTGACAACCGAATAACCGATCAAATCTAAACGATCTGCTCCTCAAGGATTACATCTTTCACACTCTGACAATTAACGAACACGGAGCAGATTAGACAGAGAAAGTATATCTGATTTATCGAACGTTTCCCGAGCTAACAGATGGAATCGAGCTAACAGATATGTTATAACCGAACGCACCTATAAAAGACCAGTGCTGAAGCCTTTGAAAAAGGTAGAAAGTAAACAAAAAAAACTATATTGGAATGAAACTCATCAGCATGAAAGGAAGATGATTCTACAAAGATGAAAGGAAAAATAAATTACGGACGATCTGAGGGCGTGAAGTGGTAGGGGGTGAGTTTTCAAGGGTAACAAACGGTTTATCCCGATTTCCGGCAAAACTACAAGCTCTGTGGGAAAATGTTGAATACTCAAAGTTGTAGGTAATAAAAAGATCTTCAACTTTTATATCCACACATTTTTCACATAACCTCAAAATTTATATGAAAAATTCAAATAACAAATTTTTTGTTTTTTTATTTTTATCTTTCACAAAAATAATGTTTTGTCCACGAAATTTTGTGGAAACTCACCTCTCTATTTTCCGAATGAACTGTAATTTTTTATTTGAAATATTAATTTTTCCACCTTATATCTATTAAGCACCCAAAATTTCCAATCTTAATTCTCGCGTCGAAATATCTGATGGTGTGAAAATATAAATACATGAATGTTCTCAGAATATGCAAAGAAACGAAAAAGCAGCAGTCACATTTTTTAGATGAAATCCACTTTAAATCCTATCTATATTATCAAGTATTTTCGCTTGTTTTTTGCAATCTTGATGTTTTATGGATTCGACATTTTTTTTGCATCAATATAACATGGAATCTACGTTTTTCTAGTAATTATTAGTGTCAATTTGAATAATTAGCTCAAAATTGTATATAATGATTGAAAAAAATTTGGATTCGAGTTTCGTTTCTTTGCATTTTCCGAGAACAGTTACCTTATCAATGTATATATTTTCAACACCATCAGTACAGATTTCAACGAACAAAAAGCCTATCGACTCTTTTGAAAAAGCTGAAATTTTAACGCGAGAATTTCCGATTGAAAAATAGGGTGCTTTTTCGATATTAAATTATAATAAGGCGAAAAAAGGAATATTTTCAATCAAAAGAATCACTGTGTGTTTGAGACATAAAAAGGTAAGTTTTCAGAAAGTTTGGTGAATTATTTTTGTTTTGAAAAGAAAAATAAAAAACCAAAAACTTGGTTATTCGAATTTTTCACACAATTTTCGAGGTTATGTGAAAACAGAGTATATACAAGAGTTATAGATCTTTTTATTACCTACAACTTTTTGTCTCAACTTTTTTCCATAGGACTCGTAGTTCTGCCTGAAATCGAGATAATCCGTTCTTTTTCCTTCAAGCTCACCCCCTTCCACTTCCCGACCTCAGATCGACCGTAATTTATTTTTTCTTTCATTGTTATATTATCTTTTTTCAATGGGTTTCCTTCTACTATAAAATTTTTCAATTCAAAAAATTATCGACCCTGGTCTATAACTGTTCCTGTCTTATAGAAATATTTCATTTTATGCACGACCTGGCGTAAAGTAGTACTTTCACACCCGCAAAACCGGGCGGTAGAGTGCTACGAGTCATTGAGTGTCAACATCAAAGCAATGGATTCGTGGTCGAAATTTCTGAGAATGAACAATACAAAGTTCGTCGATGATATTGTCGGGAAGTTTAAGTCGACTTTGAGATACGGTAAAGGTGCACTTATCATGCGATGGTTTTTTTTTCGAAAAAATGTTTTTGGTACTTACGTAATTTTGTCTGAAAAACACGAATTCCACAATGAAAATGTGAACAAGCCGCTATATGTCGAGATATTTTACGAAAAAGTTTGAAATTTCACCTTCTTTTGCCACCCATCTTTGATAATAATTTGCAACTACTTGTCCTTCTTTTTCCATCATTGGACACTTTATATACCCACTTTGTACTTCAATAATGCATTTTATTTCCTAACATCAACAAGAAGATGGTTTATTTGGAATTTTTTCATATGCAAATGAGGTAAACAATAGTTTGGTTTCTTGCAAATTATTTTGACATTTGACCCTTATTTCACATCTCGTATTTGTATGGTTCCTATGACTAGATTTGATAATTGAATGGCTGTCAGCTGGTGTGATTGTTTACCTCACTAAAATATGAAAAAAATTCCAAATGAACCATTCTTCTTGTTGATTTTAGGAAATAAAATGGCATTGAAGTACAACGTGACTATATAAATTGTCCAGTGATGGAAAAAAAGGAAAAAGCAGTAGTTGTAAATGAATATCGAAGATGGATGGCAAGAGAAGGTGAAATTTTGAACTTTTTCGTAAAATATCTCCATGTACAGAGGTTTGTTCACATTTTCATTGTGAAATTCGTGTTTTTCAGACGAAAATACGTAAGTACCAAAAACATTTTTCGAAAAAAAACCCATCGCATTATAAGTGCACCTTTACCTGAGATGCACCTTTTGTGACAGTTATCCGGTCACGTTCGACCCCTTTTGAGAGTTTCTTTAACAATACCACACCGATCAGGCCGACTCAAGTTGTCTCAGTGCTTGGACTCGTTTACCAGTGTTGACATTTTAGCCGATGTGGAAAAAACTAGTGCCTCGGAAATCTCATTTCACGCCCTCTAAAGAGTGAGGACATTCTTTTGATCACTGACATTTTCGAATTGTCATCATTCTCAAATTCAAAACGTCAGTTCTGAAAATTGAGTAGACTCCCCCGCGAAAATTAGTGTTTGTTAGAGCTTCAAATTCTAACACTCATTTTATGGAAATACATTCAATAATATGATATTGATAAAACTGTTACGCCACTGTTAGGGTAACAAATAATAATATGTCTGCATTCGTTCAATGAAGGGGTATAGAAAAATAACATTCCATCTCTTATAAAACATTTGTGTCTCATGTTTTTTATTCAGTTATTGTTAACCAACGTGACAAGCGTGTTATGGCTCTTTAGAGCGCAAAATTAGATGTTCGAGGCACTCTATGGTGTATGTACACTGCTGCCCAAATTAAACGTAACGACTGTGATGATTTCATCGAAATATCACCTTATGCCCATGGACTACTTTATCTATCTTTATTACACAGCACGATCGCGACGGTAGGAAGTTTCATATACCTAATTCTTCTTATTATTCCTCTTCGTGGTATGGTGTGAATGAGCAGGTATTCTATAATTTGGTTCAATATCATTTATTATGGAAATATGGGAGCTTGTGACATAAAAGGTCATAAACATCATGAAGTATCTGAAGAAATTCAATATTGTCAGAGTTTATGATTCTGGATTTTCATTCTTCTGGAAATGTCGGTAGTTAAAACATTAATTATCATTACTATTTTGTCAAATTAAACGAAAAAATTGAATAATATGTATGATTCGTAGAGTAAGTCGAAAATATGACGCACCGTTTCCATTTAAACAAAAAATTTTGAAAATGAAATTGTGAACTCAAATGAATGAGTCATGATGCCTGTAAATTTGGTTTGGAACTTCGGACCTCCCACGCCTCGCTATTTTCACAAAGTAGGCGATATCGAGAGATTTCGAAACTCCTTTCAATTGAAAGTGATAACACCATTTGACTTTCTATACATCTATGGTCCAACTTCAGGGATCCGTTCGATTAGTAGTGTGAGGTTTGTTGAAATATGTATCAGTTTACTTTGAGTTGAGTACTATTCCATGTAATATTCGAACAGAATTTGGAGGTAGCATATTGACTTTGAAGATGTTGGTTATGTTTGTCATTTTGTGATTTTTTAATTTTGCATAATTTTCACATATCAGAATATTACCTGAAGATTATTATCAGACTTTCCAGGGCCAGGAAACAACCAAAAGATCAGAGATCTGAAATAATTATGTGCTAATATGAAACGAGACGATACTCAAAAATCCTCAGTTCATTGGTGCCTTGAATTTGACTTTGTCCTATTCGAGTCCACAATACTAAATTCATATCAAATTGCCAGGACAACTCATTTATGGAGAATGGAATTAAATAAAACCATATAACCCACTCTAGTACTTGAGGTGCTCCTGGTATTGGCCTAGACAGTGATATTCAGATTATTAAGAATATTAAAAACTCGAATACATGAGTAAAAATATCAACTCAAACAGCCAGTGATTCACAATAATTCACATGATCTTGACATGATCCTTACCTTACTTCCTGTGCATAGGCCATACAGGATCTCGTTTCGCTCATATAGACTGTTAGTAGCAAACGCAGAAATACGCCAACATTGTAAAGAATAATGACAATTTCAAAATTCGAACGTCATATTATGACACTTGAATGATGCCTATCAAGAAAATATTTGTATCGAAATTGAGTGCAGTTAGATATTTTATGCCAACTCGAATTTTGACTTCCACTACTAGAATTATAGGCCATAACGATAAACGGTATCCTCAATCAGAGATAGGTGACTTATCTCTGCCTCAATACAGCTGACAACATAATAACAAGCTGCATTATGGCGTTCTGCTGCATACTTTGCGAAAATTATTCGTCAGGAACTGAGAAGGACATATTTTCCATAGGTAGAAGGATTTTTATAGTTTTTGTGAAGACCAGATTGCCCAGACGCAGACGCATTTTGAATGATTTTATGGACAACAAGGCTGAAAGATACCTTCGAATGTTTTCTGTTCTATGTATATTAGTGACATTTATTCCAAATGTACTCAATTGATTTGCTTTACGTCTCACATATATGAAACCTTAGCCGTGGCACTTGATATCTCCAAGGCATTCGATCGAGTATGGCACGGACTCCTCGCCAAGCTTCCACCTTATGGCTTGCCTCCCCAGCTATGTTCTCTGCTAGCTAGTTTTCTCTCAAACAGATCTCTCCATGTAGTGGTTGACGGAGTTTCATCTGACTCTCTTATCATAAATGCTGGTGTTCCGCAAGGATCAATTCTAGAACCAACACTATTTCTACTCCATATCAACGATTTGTTGGAAGCAACTTCATGTCCAGTACACAGCTTCGCGGATGATAGTACCCTCCATGCCGCCTTCTCTTCAAGAGCTCCAATACCAGCCAGTCAAATCAGAAACGAACGAGAAAGAAATGTTGACAACATAAATATGGACTTGGCAACAATTCTCGAATGGAGATCCAATAACTTGGTAGTTTTCAATGCAAACAAAACACAAGCATGCTTTTTCTCTAGAAAAGCCTATCTCACTGTGCCCAAAATAAGCTTGTCAGTGCATCCCAAAAGCTTGATTTTCTGTTTCGGGCCAGGAGCTATTTCACTTCCAGTCAGCTGCTTATGATTTATAAGGCATATTTGGAGTGCAGCACCCAAACATATATCCTGAAACTGTCCAAAAAAGGGCAATTCGTCTCGTGGGTGATACCTCGCTCACAAACTCACTCACTCTCTGGAACACCGTTGAATAGTTGGCGATCTGGCTCTATTTTGTAGATATTTTCATGGACGATGCTCTTCTGAAATATCAACAATTGTTCCTACCTTGGCAGTCCCCGCGAGATTAACCCGTCGAGTTGAGGCTTCGCACCCCTTTGTGGTCACTTTGGAGACCTGCAGAACATCTCTTTCCAAAGACTCGTTCATCGAGCGAGGCTCTGGAACACATTGCCAAGGGAGGTGTTCCCCGAGGCATATAACCTCCAGAAATTTAAGAAGAACATCAATTCACTGTCAATTTAAAAACGAAAACCCAAGCGCTCGCTAGAAATGGTGTATCAGTTCAAACCTGCAGTCAGTGGAAGCGACGTAATCTGCAAAACCTAATTGTAGAGGTACTCTAAGCACAATGTACTGAATCTCCATCCTCCCGCACCCCAGTAAAATGAAGTGTATCATTGTATCAAGGAGACTGCAGATTTATTAGTTGGGCCACTAACTAAACTGATGAATCTTTGTTTTGCTAAGGGAATCTTTCCGGATTCTATGAAAATAACGAAAGTGATACCGATATTTAAAAAAGGAGATGTTGATTCGGCTGACAATTATAGATCGATATCGATAATTCCAATAATCGGGAAAATATTTGAAATTGTTTTAAAAAAACGATTGCTTGGCTATCTTGAAACAAATTATTTAATAAACGAAAATCAATATGGATTCAGATCTAGAAGATCAACCGTGCAGACAGTAGCTTGTGTCGTGAGAGTCATAGTCGAGGGCCTTGAAGAAGGTCAACTGACAGCTGCTACGCTATGTGACTTGAGCAAGGCCTTCGATTGTGTGTCTCACAGCATTTTACTGGAAGAACTAAACTTTTATGGTATAAGGGGTGTAGCCCAAAATATTTTCAAATCTTACTTGAATGAAAGAATCCAGTGTGTAATGCGAGGGGATAATTCTTCTGATTTCGCGGAAATCAAAAATGGTGTACCACAGGGCTCAGTTTTGGGGCCTCTCTCATTGTATATATAAACGATCTACCAATGCATATGGAACCAAACAGATGTATTCTATTTGCAGATGATGCGACGATTTCTAACTCAAACAAGACTTATACTGACTTACAGTCCGAAAATGTGGAAATCTTGAACAATGCCGAAGAATGGTTAATACCGAATAAAGAAACTAAATTCCGATAAAACACAAAAAATAATTTTCTCGTCTGACCCGAAGGTTGGCAAAGGATCTTCTGTAGATTTATTGGGGATAACCATTGATGACTCACTAAAATGGACTCCTCACATCGAAAAATTATTCCTGATACGTCAACTTAAGAAGATGTTGAGTAAAGAAGTATTGTTAACGTCTTACTTTTCACTCTTTCGTGCCCATCTCAACTATGGAACGTTGCTTTGGGGAAACTCAACTAAATCTGTGAAAGCATTTATTCTACAAAAAAAGGCAATCAGAACCTTGGCTAACCTGCGGTACACAGATCACTGTAAGCCATATTTTAAACTCTTCCGAATAATGCCACTCCCATGCGTATATATTCTCAGCTCTCTACTTGAAATTCACAAAAATCTGAATGCATTTCGACTATAATACAAGAAATGTTGAACTGTTGAAGGCGCCAAAGTTCAAACTTAGGGTAACTTCTAACAATTCTTTAGATTTTCGACTCTTCAACAAACTACCAACAAATGTAAAAAACCTAAGCTGTCAGCGATTCAGAAAGAGTATCTACTTTTACACTGTTTCTACTATGTTGCTGACTACATGGAGGCACCACTAGTTTTTATCGATAGTCATAATCTAATATCGTGAACAAGTTATTTACTGTGTTTATATTATGTATATTTTAATATTCGTCGTGACTGTAGGTTATAGCATTATACTTTGTGTATTAGTATTTTTATTATTATTTGAATTTTATCTGTAGTCTTACTGTTTGTTTGTCACTATAGTTAAAAATATTTGTTTTTTACCTATCTATCTTCACATGACTTGCTACAAACATTAACTTCATGTATAAGTAGTCAAATAAACGTTATCTATCAATCTATCTAATGTAAACATATCATCGTTGGCCGATTCCAGATCGATCGTGAACGACACCAACGTCCAATCGCTGTTCATGAACATCACGGCGATGCACTCGCGCCTGCTGCACCACATCCAAGAGCACGACGATCAGCGCCTGCACTTCGAGCGGCTGCAAGACCGACTGACGCAGGCGCGGGACGCTCGCGCCGCTTTGGACGCGCTGCGCGACGAGCACCGCGAGAAGTTGAAGCGCGACGCCGAGGAGGCGGAGCGGCGGAAGCAGATGCAGATGGCCTACAAGCTAGAGGTGGGTTACTTTAGTTGTTTTTCTTGTCGAACCGTGTTCAAGATTAGTTTTGAACCGTTTACAAGCGTGACGTAGTACACATAATCTGAAAACCGGAATCAATAATTGGATTTTGAAATTGATGATTACCTGTGAGAACTCGAGAAGTGTGAAAGAATGGAATCACTTATAGTGGAATCTTAAATTGATAATCAGCAAATGAGGCAAGGTGTTTCTCTTTCACAAATGCTGAACCAGTCCAGAGAAATAGATAATAATCTGGAAATGATAATTCTTCTCCAAAACTTCCAGCATCCTAAAGTGGAAAATTATGCACCATACCCTCATCACACTCTATTTTTCAAGCTATATAGTCAATTTCTCAAGAATAATATCAATAACCTCAAACGCTCAAACCTTCAAACTTCGACGTTTTCCCACTCCTCCACTGGTTTTCCTTGTTCTGGTTCGAACGCGGTTCGAACCGTTCATTTAGAAGTTTTTGAACCGGAATGAACCGTAGTACTTGGTGACGTCATAACTTGCACAAGAAAATTCTTGATTTCGAATCGTTTTGAACACGGTTCAACAAGAAAAAGCAACTTTAGACTAAATAACAATAGATAGACACCGCGATTCATTCATAAATCATTAGAAAGTATAGGCGACTGAATTTAAGATCGCTGCACGAAAGTGGCTGGTTGTGGTACTATATGAAAGTACACTCATCTTCAGTGAACATGTCGTGGTTGGATGGTATGAACGCTCTTATTGCGGCGGTGTTTGAGAGAGCTGACACCGTTCATGTGCGACATGTTCTCTGAAGATGACTGTACATTCTTTTGAAATGGTTCATTTACTTGTGTGTATTATTTCATTTTTTCGGTAGTGATTCAAGTAAAGAAAACTTCACTTCTGACTGTTTATTTGTGTACTCTTGTGATTGGAGGGAGCAGATATTCGTTCAATAAAGTATGTTAACTACTTCAAATACATAAAATTCGCAAAATAAAAATGTCCCAATTTGAAGTTACCTAAGTTTGCATTTCCTACCCATTCATTAGCAAAATAAATATTGCAAATAAGTGGACTAAATATGATGTTGAAGTTCATAGAGTAGGTATTTGAGATGTATACAGGGTGTTTCTCAAGTACGTGTAGAATATTCAGGAGCATGTTGCTGACGTCAAAATAAGATGAAAAGTTCGTATAAACATATGTTCGAAAGTTATCCGTTTCTGAGATACAGAGTGTCAAAGTTGAATTCTTATTTTTGTTTTTTGTTAATATCTCAAAATAATTGTGATATTGGAATGAAATTTGGTATCTAGGAGTATTTTTCAATGTCAATATTAAATTTTATGTTAGTTTGTCTCTTTCGTGGGGGTGTCCTTAAATTATTAGAAATTATTTTAATTCAATTCCATTGAAAAATAGGAATCGGGTGTTATTACGATTTAATACTAATAATGATAACAGTAATTAAGACCAAATTGATACCAAAACAGTTATTTGAAAAAGCTTGGATCACAAGTACAGAAGACAACAAACTTCGCTTTCACAAGAACGGATTGAAATAACATGACAAGTAATCACTTGATTGATATTTTTTTCAATTGGGAGAGTCCAAAAAAGTAGGTACAAAGAAGTAAGAAGCATATTCTGCATACATTCTAATGTTGAATGAAGGAGAATATTGAATGTAAGAAGAAAAATGCACTGGCGTATCTTTTCTGATATTCACTAGAGGCGACTTACGAGCCACAGGGAAATAATTCAAATGCATCGATTATTTCGAATCCCAATAACTCGAAAACAGTTGCTCGCAGCGACCTCTACCAGGAATATATTCTTCACACAAAAGTGTTCTGGAAATCTATTTTTCTACTATGAAACGTTATACAGGTACGCACAAAAAAGTTATGACTTTTCAAAAGACTCAAAAGACATGTAGGTGGCACCACCCCCACGAAAGAGACAAACTAACATAAAATTTGATATTGTCATTGAAAATTACCCCTAAATACCAAATTTTATTCCAATATCACAATTATTTTGAAATTTATTGACAAAAAACAAAAATAAGAATTTCTGTATCTCAGAAACGAATAACTTTCGCACATATTTATACAAACTTTTCTTTTTATTTTGACGTCAGCAACATGCTCCTGAATTTTCTACACGTACTAGGGGAACACCCTGTATATTGCAGTCGATGCATCTACAAATGTGTTTATCAAAAGGGAAAAAGTCCTGAAAGCTGGATATGTATGTGCGAATAATTGATTTATCTCTAGTATAGGAAAAATTGAACATATTTATGTGCTTTGTTTTTGTGTAAGGATTTCATCTTTTCAGATTCCTACTGTAACTTTTCATTTCTGGGAATGATGATCGTTCGAGCTTGTGCGAAGAGTTGAAACGGACGCCGACTTGGCAGTCGGATACTCAATTCACTACCACGCGCTTACTTAAACATTCTGAGATGAAGAAAGAGTTGCCTCCATCAACTTATCACACTATCTAGACTGCTAGTAGTCATATCACAGCAACCCAAAAATGTAGGGTTAGTTGCTCGCCTGAAAACGATTCTGCTCTATACGCAGGAACCTCCGAGCTGTAGTTCATGACTTTGACGTGATATCGAAATCAACCTAGCATCCATTTTGTTCATAGGCGGTAAAAAGGTGGATGGCGTCACCTTAAGTGTTTTGTTTATGTCATTAGCTGTTAGCTCCAAATCAGCCCCTTATCATTAGAAACAACGGTGTCAAATTTCAAACAAATCCATGAGAAGATATTTGATTTAATTTAAGAAAACATTATTAAAAAAAAATTAACATCCTGTATCTTGGAAATAATGCATTTCCGGACCTGCATTTATGGAATTTTTTTTTTCATAAAATGATCTAAGGAATCACCAGTTTCATTATTGCCGCCTCTTTTTTAAACAGCCTGTATAATTGTTCTTGCTCATGACGGGTGAGGAGCTAGAGCAAGTTGAAAATAGACCAAATTTGCGTGTTTTGCGGGTAATCCGCTGGGCGCATCTTTTCATTATGACGCCGTGTATTTCTCCGACTCCGATATTAATATTTGTACAACGAATCAGCACAGCTGAATAGCCTCCGGTCTATTACGTCCCATCTGTCTATCTAAAGTGTGTATTATCTTTGCTCTAAGTAAGTTGAAGAACAAATTGAGCGTTGAGAAATTGAAAAAATAACTGAAAAAATACTTATGTCTTTGATTCTCTTATATCATCCTGAATCAATTCAAGAACTTATATTCAACAGTCTCTAGAAGAAATAACATTATATACCGGGTGACACAGGAGACATGTAACAGTCTATAGTTCTTTTATTTGAAGAGATAAAAATTTGAAATTCACAACGGTTTTATTTTTCACCTGTTTGATTGGAAGGAGACCAAACCTTTTTTTTCATATAGAACCCTGTATATTTCTGTTGTCTATCTTATTTGCTTTAAAATTCTCTATTCAACTATGTATCACAATTTGATATTCGTTCATTGGCTGTTGAATTGCATTTTATCGAAATACATGAAGTTGGCTGTGGCCCGAATACAATGACATTTCGATGCTTGATAGGCTTAGAATTCCAAAGATCATCACTTAGAAGATATTATCAGAATATTTTCTATACCCTTATCGGTCCCAGCAGATTGCCAATAATTCATTGAGTTTAAAAAAATCATCCAAAAATAACTCACGATATTAGGACGATACCTCAATTATTACAACAATTGCAGTTTCATGTATCCAAATGGATGATAATATTTCATGACTACATGGAAAAAATGAAAGACAAATAGTTTCTTCACAAGTAGCCAAATGAAAAAATCTGAGTTTTGTGCAGATACACAAAATCTCAGGGGAAAATTTGGTTTGGTGGGTTGACTGATTTTTCAACTCGCAGGACGATTGACTATGAGTTTTATTTCTCTAATACTCGCAACTACAAAAAACAATGACCAGGCAACAAAGCACGAGATGTCATCACTCATTAATGCCGAAAAGGCTCACTATCAATGCAGTTACCAAAAATATGAGCGATTTTATAACACTTGGAGAAAAGTCTCGAGCTAAACTCCCGACTCCCAGAAATAGAAGAAAACGAATACATTCTCTTATCTATTGTTCGGACCGAGCGCAAAAAAACTCGTGAGGAGTTTTTGTATCGAGAACGAATCGCGGTTTATTAATTCGAGCCTATATGGATGGAAGATAGATGATGAAGGGAATGCAGGAGTAGGTAGGCCACCAGTAAGACTTGAGATGGCATGCGGGGTTGTCAATATAAGGGCTTCGGCACAGTTTCCATCTTAGTTTTCTCAATATCGTGAGTTATTTTCGGATGATTTTTTTAAACTCAATGAAATTATTGGCAATCTTCTGGGACCGATTAGGTTATGGAAAATATTCTGATAATGTCGTCTAAGTGATGATCTTTTGATTTCTAAGCCTATCAAGCATCGAAATGAAATGCAATTCAACAGCCAATCAATAAACGAATATCAAATTGTGATACATAGTTGTAAAGAGAATTTCAAGGCAGATAAGATAGGTTACAGAAATATACAGGGTGCCATTCGAAAAAAAAAGTTGGGTCTACTTCCGATCAAACAGGTGGTTGAAGACAATTATCATTGGGTTCAAGGGAAGCGCCATCATCGATAGTATTACCCTTGTGAATCTCAAATTTTTATCTCTTCAAATAAAAAAACTACAGGCTGTTACATGTCTCCTGTGTCACCCGGTATACTATGTATAAGATTTAAAAGTGATTATCTGATTATCTAATTATTTTCTTTTAGTTGCTCTTTCATGATTTTCCCTGCTATAAAGATATATGTTTCTTGAAAAAAAAAAGTTTGTGAACGATTGTGAATGCTCTAAACTGCTATAGAGTAAGTTTACGAAGGCTTTGGAGTAAGCATTCCTTACTCAGAGTAAGTTCACGAACGCGCCACAAAACATTATTGTTTATAATAGGGATATATACAACAAAACATACATATAACACAATAAATCGAAACAATAATAATTGCACAATTATTGTTTTTCATAAAGAAAATTATAATAAAATATAAAATGAAAATATTATAATCCATTACAAGTAATCAAATTGTGAATGATTAGTAGATATGGAATTGAAGTTTACTGAGCAGATATTTCTTTAAATTGATAATTTTTCTGCTTCTATATTTTTCAACTCATTAGGTAAGGAGTTATATAAAATTATTCCATTATGGAATATTGATTGTTGGGCCTAGCTTCTCAGGTAAGGCTCTAGCCGTTCGATATCTGAAGTTAAGCAGTGTCGAGCGCGGTTAGTACTTGGATGGGTGACCATTCGAGGAAACGCCGCGTAAGCCCGTACATCTGTAGCGGAATTAGCATATCATAGCTACAGCTACCATATCAATGAGCACAAGATATGATACGGATATGCCGTCCTTCGGAGGGGACGTTAAGCCGGCGGTCCCGAGGCCATGGATGTTGGACTCGTTAAAGATCCCTACCTCGGTTGGAACACCGGAGGATTCGGCAAAATTTCCGGTTGGGGGTATGGGGGTATGGGTGTGCTCACCGGCGTCGGTGATTAGCCTCAGTAGCAGAAAAAGGCCGGCGTTAAAGAAACGAATAAAAAAAAAGATTGTTTACCAAAATTCGACTAAACTCCATTGAAATTCAAATTTGATATTTTCAATTCCTTTCTGACAAAATGGATAAAGCAACAAATTTTGAGTTTAAATAATGAAACTAGATTCAGCAAGTCTTCAGGTTTGGATTTAAAGTTGATTATAAAAAAGGTAAATTGAAAATGCACTTTATTGTTTTATTTTGTAATTTCATGAGTGGTTTCAAACGTGAAATATTTGTACTTCTCCAAATAGATATTAGATATTGTAAGTTTGTATAAAAGACAGAAATAAATAGTCTTTAAGTATCTAACAGGAATGAAATTCCGAATTTTATATATAACACCAGCAATAGAATTCAATTTTTTCCTCAAATGATCTATATGTAGAGTCCACGATAATAATTGTTCATCAATATAAAGACCTAAAAATTTTGTTACATTTGTAAATTCAATGGATTTGTTATTGAAACATATTATTCAATATGTCCGTTGTTCTTCTTGAAATGTACATATACGTAGATTTACTATAATTAAGAGTCAACTTATTGGTCGTTAGCCAAGATGATATTTGTTTCAAATCATTTTTAATATCATTATTGATATCATTGAAATCTTTTGAAGTATAGATTATTGTATCATCAGCCCTAAAAACTCCTTGCAGGTGATGCGCAAAAAGAAGCAAGAGTACCTGCAGTACCAGCGCGAACTGGCCATCCAGCGTGTCCAGGAGCAGGAACGCGAGATGCACATCAGGCAGGAGTACATGAAGTACGGCGGCCAGGTGGGATACGTGGGTTCGCCCGCGCACGCCGGGCAGTACTCGCTGCCGCAGCAGGCAGCACAAGGCGGCGGGCAGCCGGGAAGCGGGCCGTACAACGCCTTCATGTTCGCGCCGCCGCCACCGCACGTGATGGGGCAGCAGCAGCAGATGGGGCAGCAGCAGATGGGGCTCGGAGGCGGCCCGACTCACGGTAGGTGCTTCGATCTCTCTCTCTCTGCTGGATCCATAGATAGATAGATGATAAATCTAGAATCTCAAGACCAAGAGAATCTAGGAAAATTTCATGAATCGATTGTCAGCTGATGCAAGACAGACTGTTTCGACTTGCCATAAGTCTCATCAGTTGCACTGGCCAGCTGACAATCGATTCACGAAGGGTACCTCCATATATTAGACAAGTCGAAGCCCTGAGGGGGCAGGAGGACGATCTAGCCTTCATAGCCATGTAGTGGCTTAAGTGCAAAGGTATATAGGTAGATTCATCAATCATACCTTGCGAGTAAGTCGTGCATATAGACCCCTACGTCTATATGCTTACGGAAAAGACACCATGTCAGAATTCTGTAGACTATCGCAACACCTGTAATTCTCAAAGTGGTTTAATGTTCCACTAGTCTCAAAACAAAAGTAGAACACCAAAGTGTTCTACTAGTCTCAAAACAAAAGTAGAACACCAAATCAATCTACTAAAAGACTGGTTCGACCACAAATCGCTCACAATAAATTTTGAAAAAACACAGTTTCTGCCGTTCGCAAGTTATGGCAACCGACTGACAAACTTCAATTAATTATCAGTTAACAATCACGGTAATATCATGGAAATCAACAGAACTGACAAAATCAAGTATCTAGGAGTTATAATAGATCCTCACCTCAGATGGAATATGCACGTTAGCCAAGTTTCAAAAACACTGAGATTCATGTTGTATAAATTCAAATACTTGAGATCTATTCTTGATATAACTTACCTCAAAACAATTCACCATGTAGTACAGTCCCGATTGCAATACGCAATTCTCAGTTTGGGCGGCATGCTAGACACCCATCTAGAGAAAATGGAAGTATTGCAGAGGAAAATACTCAAAATAATGTACTATAAAAAAGCTGATTATACTTCGGATGGTATATTTAGAGACGCGCAAGTACTAGACATAAGAAAACTTTATATGTTCAATATTATACTATACATCTACAAGAACCCAAGTATTCTCAGGATTTTGGAACATGTCTATAATACTCGTAATAAATCCAAGGGTAACGTTCAAGTCAGCATAACAAAAAAATCTATTGGACAGCATACATACAAATATCTCAGCACTAAAATATTCATCTACTTTCCTGAAATGTAAAAGATATATATACATAGAATCAACAATATCAACCTCCTGAAAACAATTTTCAAAAAATGCATGCTTGAACTGAATAGAGATATTGTTCACAACATAACGACGAATACACTGAATATAAACTAACTTTCTACATGATTATTTAAAATTTATTACATATTACTAATTACAGTTTCACATATTTATTTTCACTGCAACTCGAACTTACCACTATTACTGATATTGTCAAATATTGTTGTTATTGATTATTTTTATTAACGTTAATATCATCATTGTACTATTTTGCACATTTCATTACATACTATACATATATTTAATTAATGCATTATTCATTTATAATGAACGCAACTTCGGTTTGAGTTGAAACTCGTTAATCTCAGGGGTGCTTTTGGGTTACAGGTGTCCTCAATAAGAGAGTACTCGAGACGTTCCCAGATTTGTATAAACTTTATTTGGTTTTACGCAGCAGACAATTTGTGTTTTAACACCCTGTAATAGCGAAAGTATATAACAAAATATTAACGGGCGGGTAAAGCGGCCACAAAAGAAACAGACTCCACGAACATTTTGAGACTAAAATACATTTTTAACAAAGATATAAAAAAAACACGATCACCTACGTCAAAAAATGTTCCTCAACCACCCGCTCGGGATGTCCGGATTCATTCTGACAAACCATGTGAAACGCGACCCCGTAATGGCGGTATTTCACAGCAAAATTGGACAAATATGGTAATAATGGCAATATTAGTTTTCCTTACCTGTAAATGAGACCAGCCGACACTTTGAACACTTATTGAAGAGTTTAAATGCACAACATAGGCTCTCTAAAATAGCAGAGTGCAAAAATCAAAAATTATCAGTATTGCATATGTTACTTCTTTGGTGGTTTAAAATAGAAGAAGCTAGTCTGATGCATTCACTCACTGCGATAAGGATTCCTGATAAAACAAAAGAACAAAAAAAGTGGTTCCTACCAAAATATTAGTTTTAATTATCTACCGAAACGGTACCGGTTGCGCCATCTTCCGACGGGTGAAGGGATCAAGGGATGACTGTAAGCACTGGAGGAAGCGTCCTTCTCCGAGGCGCGCGGAATATGCACGAAATCGTGGCACAGAGACCTGTTTTGCCACAGGTTTTAGTGGGTTTATCCATGTTTGTTTCGGACGAAATAGTTTAGTTTATGTACTACAGATGTATACTTAGATGTTATTTCTCACTAACAGATGGTGATAAACCTTGAATCTCAAGACTAAGAGATTCTAGGGAAATTTCGTGAATCGATTGTCAGATGATGAAAGACAGACTTGTTTAATATATGGAGGTACCCTTCCTGAATCGATTGTCAGCTGGCCAGTGCAACTGATGAGACTTATGGCAAGTCGAAACAGTCTGTCTTGCATCAGCTGACAATGGATTCACGAAATTTCCCTAAAATCTCTTAGTCTTGAGATTCTAGGTTTATCACCATCTTTTAGTGGAACATTAAACCACTTTGAGAATTACAGGTGTTGCGATAGTCTACAGAATTCTGACATGGTGTCTTTTCTGTAAGCATATGGATGTAGGGGTCGCAAGGTATGATTGATGAATCTACCTATACACCTTTACACTTGAGCCACTAGATGGCTATGAACGCTAGATCGTCGTTCTGCCGCCTCAGGGCTTCGACTTAGATAGATAGATAAAGTTTATTTGACTACTTATACACTGAACCATAGTCAGAAATCGAATTACCCCAGTAAGAAACTCTAATAGTATAGGGGACAAGCGAGTTATCACCTGTGATTATAAAGTCGACTTTGCTGATTATAATCCACCTGCGATTATAAGATATAGAACCTTGCTGCCACTAGCGAGTGCATCTGTGTATTGCTATTAGACGATGTTTCTGTAGTAGGTATCTGACATTGCGACCGCTAGTGAGTGCATCGAATAATGGGAGTAGGGCAATGTTATAATCGTAGGTAGGGAACATTGCTACTCTTGATGGGTGATCATATGCATGACCTTCTTGCTGTAGTTATTCAGTTATTTTCCAGGATTGTTGTCATCAAAAAAGGTGAAATTTTGACTGATATCCAATTTCACTTCCCATAATTTACACCCTGATGTATGGTATGAATAGCAATTTATCGATTCCTAAAGAAAATTCGAACCAATGATCTTTGAAATTCAATAGATCAATTGATTCATGCACCCTCAGGAAAAACAAAAGGTTTTTGAGTAATTGATGAAAAAAAGATTTTTTCTGAAACTTTCTGAAACCATTGTATTCCGAAAACTAGGCAAGTTATTACAGATGCGTACAGGAAAACAAAATGTTACCAGCAAAATCATTCAAATAATTTCATTACCTGGACATTTTCGCTCAAAGTGAGTTTTTAGACCACTTTCTATAAAGAAGCTCTGGAACATATTTGACAATTTTAAAGTTCCATGGTACCAAAAAGAGGGAAATGTTGAATGTGAGATATTTGAATTTCAGTCGAAATACCTCGAAAAATCTCACCTTCATCATTCCATCAATCCTGGTAATAACTGGAGCACTCAGATCTACGAAAGCACACAGAATATTTTTTTATTTGTTGAAAAATGTTTCCATTTTATATTCAGATTCAGATTTTAAATAATGAATTGAATTTAAGAGGGTATATATTCGTAACTGTTGTGTCGTCGAGACTGTCATCCTGTACATGGGTTTGCATCAAGAGCCCAACTGTGAATGATTGATCAAGCAAGATGTCTGACAAATGCTCATATAGAGGGGGACAAATCAGCGAAATATCGAATAACGATAAGTAGGCGCTAAATAACCTCAAGTAGGTTCGTCAAATATTATTTTTGTGGCAGACTGACAGTTGTATTATTGGTATTGAGTGCAGTTCTATGCAATGAACCTCGCAGCCACAAGCAAATAACTCACTAGTAGTAGTTCAGCTAGACAATTATTAGAATAATTATACTGTCCCAGAGTGGCTGCCTGATAACGACAGCAGTATACCTTCCTGTGGCAGGAAATTTACCTTCAGCAAAGTCGTTATTGCTATCATAAGATTTCAATGTGCTGCTTCTTTTCGAAAATGTATAACGGTAATATGATTTCTTGTAATGGTAGCAAGAAATATCTCAGCAAAAACTCTAATAGCACAATTTTCCTCAGTGTACATGGAGTTAATGTTTGTAGCAAGTCATGTGATGATAGATGGATAAAAAACAAATATTGTTAACTATAGTGACAAATAAAAAGTGGGATACAGATAAAATTTCAAAAATAAGAATAATAATAACACAAAAGGTATGTATGACCCACAGTCACGACGAATATTAAAATATACATAATATAAACACAGTATATAACTTGTTCACAATATTAGATTATGACTATCGAAAAAAGCTAGTGGTGCCATATGTAGTCAGCAACAGAGTAGAAACAGTGTAAAAGTAGATACTCTTTCAATGCATCTTTGAATCGCTGACAGCTTAGGTTTTATACATTTGTTGGTAGTTTGTTGAAGGGTCGAAAATCTAATGAATTGTTAGAAGTTATCCTGAGTTTGAACTTTGGCGCCTTCAACAATTTACTATTTCCTGTATCATAGTCGTGATAGTCGGCATGTGACTCGAATGCATTCTGATTTTTGTGAATTTCAATTCGAGAGCTGAAAATATACAAGCATGGGAGTGGCAATATTCCATATTCAAAGGCCAGTTGCATAAAGCATTTGAGAGACGTTTCAATATTTAATTTGTTTATATCCAAGGCAACGTATGCCTCAGCTGATGAGTTTGAAGAGTTGATTCCTCGTTGAATTAACCGGCCCTTATTATTCCAAGGAGACATGAGACATGATTATATATGCTCCAACAGGATCATACATTCATTAATTTTTTTTTGTGATGAGAAAATAGTTTGACATTTCATCTCTGTTGACAGGTTACAAAATGTCACACTTCATAAAATTACTTTTTTCCCGGATATATAGGTGTGCCAGTTCCGAAAAATGATCCAATAACACCGTGTCTGAGAAAGAACTTCAAGTCCTTTTTATCTTCCATTCCACTTCACGGTTTTGTAAATTACTGAACAACCACTAAGTTCGCAAATTTTTTAAATCAAATCACGGTATTAAATTGAAAGATATTCGAATACTTCAAAAAGTTTCAATAGCAACAATAAATTTGACTACAAAAAGATGCCTGCAACACAGGTGGCTTACCAGTTAAAAACTTCAAATTCCACATCGATAATTTTCTGATTTTATTATAATGTTATATCTTCCCAATATTGAATCGTCGTTTTTCCTGTTATAGAAAAAATAGTGTATTCGTATTCTACACGGGGAAAATATCAGATTTTAGCCAAAATCTAATACTTTTGTCTCTTGTATCATAAATAACTATATCTATAATGGAAATAATTGAATAAAAATCTGTGTGTAGGCTACTCTGCATAAACTTGACAATCAAATAGTCAGATAATCGAGTCAATTCTGTTTGAAGATTGTTATTAACAAAACAAAACTTAACATTTGAAACCATAAAAACCAAAATTGTAAACGATTATTTGATGGCGTTCATGTAAATTTTTCTCAAAATTGCTTTGTCAGAAAAGTATCTAATCTGTGAAAATGTCGCGGTTCGGAGATTCCTCGAGTGGAGAATTTGTAAATTCCATCAACAGTTATGCGATTTACATTTTTGTTAAATTGTCTTACCGAGTTACACTCATTTTTTGTTTTGTTTCGAAGTCCGCGTCCTATTGGATTTTTGAATCATCCAGGAAGCCATCGAAATACCCATATCAAATTTCAACCTAATCGGTTAAGCCGTTTAGAAAGTTCATGTGAAAAAGATAAGTACGAAAGGATAATTCTTACTACCTGTCGTCATATTACCCATTTTCCCTAGGAATGAAGCATTTTTCGCGGTTAAAAGAAGCCTATGTTCATCAGCCGTAATGTCGGCTTCTAATGTTAGAACCTTTTTGCAAATCGGTCCAGTAGTTTCGGAGCCTATTCAATACAAACAAACAAACAAATCTTTCCTTTTTTTAATATTAGTATAGTCAACAGTATCTCCATGACAACATCAGAACAAATATGTTAAAACATCATCTATCATTGATCTTCTCAACGGAATTTCTCCTTCAGGTGCCTTGCCACCCCAACAGCCGCCGCACAATCCGGCTCACGCCGTTCCTCCGCAGGGCTACCACCCCGGCCTGCAGAACGTTAATCCGGGGGCCAACTTGTCGGACCGCCCGCAGCCGCACTTCGGAATGCCGCCCGGCATACCGTTGTCGAGTCTGCCGGCGCATCTGCCCGGGATGCCGCAGAACGCGCCCCAACATGGTATGGTGCCTGCCCCCGGGGGACAGCCCCCTAGTCAAGGTAAGATCAGATAGAGCTTGTTTGTTTGAAATGTAATACATTGTTTCTCCTCACACAAATAAAATGGCATTTAGTGGACTGATATGTATTAGAGTCGCTGTATATACCTTAGACAAACTGACAGCTGTTGGAGTTTTTAACATTTTGTTTCATTTGGTTTGCCCACCTGACAATGTAACGAAACACCATAGTCGTCCCGCCCGCTTCTTTTAAAATGGAATAATATACGGGGTGTTCTATTTAAAAAAAAATATTGAAGATGTCGCTCAGCCAAAACTTTCAGCTTTCATTTTTTTCAGGAAAAAGTAGGTACCTATATGTCCCAATGAAACCCTTCAAATTTCGTTGCGATATACCAGGTGGTTCAAAAATTAGTAAGGGGGGAACGGACTTTAGACGGACACCGTATATGCTGCCGGTTATTCGAACCCGGCCGATGGCCATCAGATAATTTTTCAATGAGAAATTGGTTCGTGGTAGCATTTCAGCTCCCTACATGTGGTTCTAAATCCACTATAAACTGTAAGTCCTCTTTCACTTTAACTTTCACAAGCCCTTCGAAGGCTTATGAGGGCTTCGGCAGCCAAAGTGATAAGGTACAACATACAATACAATTAAATACAATGAAATACACTAATTGTTATGAATACTGCTGTACGTATAGTAGTAGTAGTATAGGTACCTAGATACTGATCTTAAGAATCTTGCAATTATGATTTCCATTATGTATTTACTATATAGTATATGTACCATGAGTTTAATATAAGTATAGTTATTAGGTGTATATAATAGTTTATCAATTGGATCTTTGACATCTCATTGTCTGTAATGTTAGATAAATATAAAAATCAATGTTTATAAGGCATATAGGTATATATATATTGTTGTTTTGATTTTGTCACTTTTATTTCTGCTGAGTGTTATTAAATTGAGAGAATCGGAGAAAATTATATATCTTCTATTTTTTATATCCCAACAGTAAACAACTATATTTTCTTGGCAATATGTGATACCACGTAGAACACTTACATTATCTTGCTTATATCTAATGAAGTGAAGAAATATCTGATGACGAAAATTTGCAATAGTCATCTCAGGAATTCATTATGAAAATTATCGATTCGAAATTTGAAAACTCTGTTGTTCATTATTTGAAAATCTAATAGTTATTCTAGTTGAAATATCCCTATTTCTCATTTCTACCTACGGCTATGAACGGTTTGACAAATAATCTAACTTGAATCTAACCCTCAAAATTGTTTCTGACATTCATTGATACTAGGGGAATAGAAAAGACAGAGCTCGATATATATGTCTTATTCCTTTATTCAATCATCAATGCATTTTTCGAAAACAGAAATGGACAGAAGTATAGGTGTGTCCGGACTCTTGTCTTAAGTATATACAGGGACTTTAATATGTACCATACTAAATGCACACCTACAGTCGTTTGACTGTATTTTCGAAATTTGTTGCAATCGGTGACAATCAGAATTAGTCAAACAATTTGTCTTGACAGGAGTGAAATAGAAGGGAATTTTTTAGGTACTTGCATATTTCCGAGAACTCTTTAAAAATGAAACTCATCTTTGTGGGCAAGCATGTGTTAAGCATGACAATAAACGTAAAACACAATATTTATGGGAGCAAAAATTATGCAATCAGAATATGGATAGAAACCTGTGAAATCAAAAACTTCGATACCTCAGCGAATCAAAGAGTTTTTATCTTTTATGTTAGATGAAAACTCCGAATTCACAAAGGTTGGTAAGCAAGCCATTGTAATAGAAATTCATGTATCCTAGGACTGGGCACATCTACAATCAATATCACTTATACTTGTCTCATTGGTTGCATGCAGTTGCATAGTATTATGTATTGTTCTCAATTCCCATTCCCTTCGAATTATTTTGTAGGATAGCAGATAAGTTTATCTAATTTTCGGAATTATGAGATCTTTTCGAAAAGAAAAAAAAAAGGAATTAAGTATGAGTTCGTAGAAAAAGTATAGTATGTAACTCTTCTAGACACTCGTTTATTAAACACTCACTCCGCTCTGCTGCGCTCGTGCTTAGAATACTACATACTTACATAATATACTATTTTCCACCACTTGCTATAGAACCTACCATAATAGATATGGAATTCGAGCACAGAACTCAAAGACCTAGAAGGCTAATGCAAGTGTGAGAAATCGCTGAAATCTGGTGATTATGCGCACATTGTCGGAAACATTGTCAGTTATATATTTTTTTCTGCAACCGACACAAAAGTCGTCCATTTTGATACCAAAATCAGCTAAAGTTGCACTTTAGTTCCTAGGAGATAAAGTTGAAATTGAGATGGAACTAAAAAGGATGTACTAGAGGTCATCAAGAATAAACAACTTTGATGATTGGTTATTTTAGTTGGGACGCATACCTGATTTGTTTCCGATTTTGACAGATTTGGCATTCCATACCCATGCTGGAGATATAAATACACCTTAGTACAGTCTGTGAGTATTCACACTAGTGGTATATAATCAAGAGTATATCTGAGTATTTTTGTTTTGATCAGGAATGCCTTCAAGATTCACATACTTGCTTGATCTGTATTTCATTCGTTATGCTCGGGATGGATAATTTGTTTTTGAATTATCACGGCCAGCAATAGTTTTTTGTCTCAAACAACAATATTGTTTACCTACATTTGATTATCAAGCCCAACACAGTGGAGTATGGAGAGAAATAAATAATCGCTATTATTATTGTTGATATGCTCACTAACCTAACATTTTCCACGTTTGTTCCTATACCTGGGACTGGCGCGATATTTGCCATTAGAGCATCTGGCCCATACACAAATATGTCACTCTGTGGTTGTATTTATAGTGAAACTACAATTCGAACATCCTTGAAAATTGAATAAACCTGGTGTCAATGCAGGTAAAATATTCTCACCCCATGGATTATTTGTTGCATTGCATACATATGGCACGGCATTGGTGGTTACTTCACTTATTTATTCGAGTTGATTGTTTCGGTTGCAGAAAAAATAGCATGTTTCAGTCGGATCAAAAGTGACTAGCAAATTTTGGATTCGCTCGGCTTCGCTAAACGCTTCGCCTCGCGAATGCAAAATTCGCTCGTCAAACAAAGTGTCACTTTTGATCCAAATAAAACAATTACTATTTTCTACTCACATAAATAAAATGGCATTCAGCGTAATGATATGTACCACGCTAAATGATCAATTAATCACGGATTGACGATTTGTGATTTATTCAAAAAATTGAACACGTTACTATGGCAACACAATTTCTTGAACACATAATCATGGCAACATAGTTTTTTAAACACCAACAGTCGTTTCAGCCCTGTCCGACCTGTCAATTGTAGGAACTGTCAACTGTCATTTTCGAATTTTGTTGCATTCAGTGATAATCAGAATCAGCCAAACCATTTCTGTTTGTATCATAAAAAATGTATGCGAAATGTAGACGGAAGTGAAATCAAAGGAAATTTTCAGGTACTTGCATATTTCCAAGAACTCTGTAAAAATGAAGCTCTTATCTTTGTGGTAACAAGTCAAATCAAAAACTTTGATACCTCAGCGAATCAAAGAGTTTTAATCTTCTATGTCAGATGAAAACTCCTTATTCACAAATGTTGGCTTCAGGCCATTTTATTAGAAATTCATGTCTCCTATGGAGTGGACACATCTCCAACCAATATCACTTATACGTGTCTTATTGGTTTCATGCAGTTGCATAGTATTATGTATTGTTCTCAATTCCTATTTCCTTCGAATTATTTTGTAGGTTAGTAGGTAAGTTTATCTAATTTTCGTAATTATTAGATTCTGTCGAAGAGAGAAAAATGAGTTCGTAGAAAAATTATAGTATGTAACGCGTTTATAAACTCTTCTAGGCTTAAAATACTGGTTACTAAAAGGACGACGTTTATAACACTTGTTACATAATATACTATTTTCCACCACTTGCTATAGAACCTACCATAATAGATACGGAATTCGAGCACAGAACTCAAAGACCTAGAAGGCTAATGCAAGTGTGAAAAATCGCTGAAATCTGATTCAACCAGAGTGCTTACGGCAATGGTGATTATGCGCACATTGTCGGCAACATTGTCAACTATATATTTTTATTTTACTTGATTCTTTGGGATTTTCTCTCCTCGTTTCTATAAAATAAAAGTATTCGTATTATTTCAATATATTTGTAGAGGGACAAATCAGATGATTTGCCCCAAAATGTCACTGCGTTTAACACATTTTTTTATCAGGGAGTCTAAAAGAAAAATTCAGTAGCTTGTCAGTGACAATTTGTTTGAAAAAATGTTTGAAGGAAAGAAATATAGATATATTGAAAAAATATCGAATTTTTACTTATCTTTGGACGTTTCGGGACCGATTCTGCTCCCGTTCTCAACATGTAAATGCAAATTATGTTTCTTTGAAAGTTGTGCTGCTTATAGTTTGACACTTTTCAGTGTCATACTGATGTTGGCATATGAATGAGTGATTTTTGTCTACAAATGAGTTACAGGATGTTTTCATTAATTGATCTTGAATCCACCATTTTCATGTTCAAGATCAATTAATGAAAACATCCTGTAACTCATTTGTAGACTAAAATCACTCATTCATATGCCAACATCAGTATGACACTGAAAAGTGTCAAACTATAAGCAACACAACTTTCAAAGAAACATAATTTGCATTTACATGTTGAGAACGGGAGCAGAATCGGTCCCGAAACGTCCAAAGATAAGTAAAAATTCGATATTTTTTCAATATATCTATATTTCTTTCCTTCAAACATTTTTTCAAACAAATTGTCACTGACAAGCTACTGGATTTTTTTTAGACTCCCTGATAAAAAAATTTGTTAAACGCAGTGACATTTTGGGGCAAATCATCTGATTTGTCTTTCTACAAATATATTGAAATAATATGAATACTTTTATTTTATAGAAACGGGGAGAGAAAAACCCAAA